GATCTCGGCTTCCTCAACTGACTTCGGTTCTACGGCCACCACGGTCTCTTTGCCAGCTTGGAAACCGATCTCATACATGGTCTCTCCATAAGCCGATTTCTCTCGTTCAAGTTTGGCCATTTCAGCCTGATGGGCATCTCTTTGCCGACCGATGAGCTCGCGGACCTCGGCACATTCTTTACGAGCCGCTTCATGTCCCACCTTTTCCTCCGACAACGCCTTCTCGGTTTCTGCTAATTTAGCCTCAGATGTCTTGAAGTGTTGCTCAACCACGACAAGGCGCGCTTTGAGATCGGCCACCTCGGCCTCAAAAGCCTTCTTCTCCTCGGACAGTGCCGAAGTCTCAGTCCGCATTTTTTCCAAGTCGGCAGCTTGATCGGAAATCTGGCCCTTCAAGTCGGCCTCCATCTTGGCAGATTCTTCCTTCAACTAGACGATCACCACATCACGCGCAGCTATGATGTCCTTTTTTCCTTCCAATTGCGACGCAACCCGGCGATGATCGTCCTCGGCAGCCACCAAACTGACCAAGGCCCTGCCCACACATGCCTTGGCATAGCTCAGCTTATCAACGCTGGATAAAGAAGAGACCCCCACCTCGGATTTGGGGTCCCAAACCATCAGCGAAACTCGAGCAGCGTTTCTGGCATTCTCTGGTATTTCGATTCTTGATGACATATGCGGTGACTTCACGGACAGAAAAGTAGTGAACTAATCCTCCACAACACCATTGGGCACCTTAACATTGGCAGCCCGTTCTTCATCAATCGATAAAAAAGATTTCTCGAACAAGGGAGAGTCATCATGACCCTTCTCACCAGTTTTACGACCGGAGTCGTGTTTTTTCTTAGTTCTCTTCTCCGCACCAGAAGAAGCACCAACATCCGCCATCTTCACTAATTTCCTCTTCTTCCTCCTCTCTGGTTGTTCCAACTCCAAAGACTTCGGAGAAGAGGGCGGCACCTCGGTGTGGACGACCTCGGTCGCAACCAGCTCCGTCCCTGCCACAACAGGCTCAGGCTCTGCTTGGCTAATAGCCGTAACGTTCATAACTGGTGGCACCTCGGTAGTTGTCACCTCCTGCAAGGACTTCGGGCTCTCCGGAATAGCCGCCGAAGTCGCACTCGACCCCACCTCGGTCGATTTTTTACCGACGTTCTTTTGGCCCGCAGTATTCTTCACCAACGCACGAACAAGATCTCTCCTCATGGCGTCGTTCAATCTTAAATCTCGACTCTTACCAACTTTGGACTGAAGATCTCTATTCGGAAATTTACGCCTAAACTCCTTGGCTTCCTTGACAGAGTTATAGCCCAGAAAACCGAGGAGGGGATAATACACTGCATATCGACAAGGGATAAACAAATTTACAAACAGCTGTTCTACGCATATGAAAAGTTCGACAAAATCATTACTGATTAAATTTCTCTTACCGGGGTCAAACTTTGATGTAGTAACTCCGAGAGACAAACCAACGGCTTCAAGTTTCGAATCTATTAAGAGTTTGCGATAATCCCTATCCTCCTTACCCAAGCGAGCCAAAGTTATCAACTTCCCACCGAATTCCGGACTTAACTTCGGTTCTTTTTGCTTGGTCTTTTTTTCTACAAAGAGCAAAAGTTCCGACCTGTTAGTACACAGAACAACACCAAAATCAGGAAAGTATATCCGAATTGAAAAAAAATAAAACAAACTCACTGGCTCCGGAATGAATTAACATGGGGATTGTCATCCCATCAATTCGGTGCTCATGAAAGAAGTCCTCTGACTGCCACTCCCCTCCAATCCATAACCACTCCTCCTGGAAGCCGTGAAGACTCTCCGGAATCTCGGTTACTATTTCACCGACTTTAACGCCGTGCTGCGGTTTCGCCCCGGCAAAGAAGCAAAAAGAAGATTCGGCAACCCTCCTCTTCGGACTTTGTTTAAACAGAAAAATACTTCGCATTTCCTCACATGATGGTAACCCCTCACCGTGCTCGTGCAGCAACACCATCAAACCAATTATCTTTTTCCAGCTATTCGGGGTAATCTGACACAACGGTAACCCTCAACTTCGGAGGTACTCCGTAATCAAGTTTGGCAGCGGGAACCTTAATTCCGACCTCAAACTCTCCGCAAAGATGCCCACGCAACCCGGAGGTGGACTTGTTATTCTCTCCCCGGGATAAGGGGCAAAAATTTTCACCGAGGGAGGGATCCGTACCTGCTCTCTCAGCAACACGACATCGGCGTCGGTAAGGATACTTGGTTCACCCACGAAATCAACCTCAGGATCGGGCCACCTCTTTACCGGTCTTCTCCAATGGGGCACCACAAGGTCGGTCGCGTTATGTTCCACGACCAAATCACCGTCCTCGTCGTTCAACTTGATATCTAGATGTCTCACCAACGACGGGTCCCACCGGTGATATTCAAAGGCCAATTCAACCAGTTCCGAATCATGGTAAACCTCCAACAGGACCGACTCAGTGCTCGACGAACTCGCCACCGCCTTACCCTTACCCTTCGATGCCATTGCACACAAACCAAACAAGAAGACAAAAAAATGAAAATGAACGAAGAGTCGAAGAAAGAACTCACCAAAGGATCCGCAAACACGCAGTGAACAAGAAACGACTCTCGAACTCAAAAGAATTTCCTCAACAAGATTACTGGATGCAAAAGTCTGTGAATGAAAGCACAAGTGAAGAAAACTCGATTCAATATCACGAAACCCTATTTATAATTGCTGATTGATGACCGTTGCGGATCTTAATTAGGGGCGCGTCCAACCGACGCGACCCCTAATTCTAACCGGCGTTACCTCTTCATCTGACAAGACGCCTACTATTACACGTGGCAGCCTATTAAAGTCGACCGTTACCTCATTTAAGACCATTACGGCGCGACCGTTCATTCTAACATTAAATCGTTGACCGTTACGACCATTCCCATTCCTCCTGTCGCGACCGCCTGCAAATTACTCAAATTTCACCAAGTGTCTTCGCCTCGGAACACAGTCTGCACCTCGGAACGAGCAACTCACTTCGGTTACCTCGGTTACATCGGTAAACCGAAGTACCTCGGTTATATCGGTAAACCGAAGATGACTCTCCTAAGACAATAAGCACCCTGCCGTTTACTTTTTACCGATTCGGAGCTTCCAAATGTTTGGCAACATCGATGACCATCACTCCGTATGCCCACCGATCTTGGGGGCCTCTCTGTTATCATCCGACTCGGTAAAACACCATTAAGAGGGTTTAAATATCTTGTTAAGTGCAATTACCTGTTGAACCGACGTGATCCGAAACCGTACAGACTCACACAAAGAACCGGTCTACATTACCAAAGACCGAAGTGACCAATATCCACCGAGGTCTACTTACACCGAGGTCGTCACCTCGTCACCTCCTCAAGCAGGTGACAAAGCGCCTACGCACAACCATCACGCTCTACGAGATTTGTCATCATTCATGTGGGACCCACTTCTCCAAACCGCCCACCAAAAGCTACTTTATACAAAAAGTAGTACGCAAATCCCAATGTATTCGCCAAATAGTTACTATAAATAGCAACCCTATGATATTTGTAGGGGGATCTCTCTCCGAACTCATAAAAACATCTTCATGCAACACGCAAAAGCCCATCACGGCTCTTCACCTCGGTTCACCTCGGACCGGGGCCATTGTTGAGTTATTTCTACATGCTTTACGTCAAAATCATTCATAATTCTCATCTTAATCACGTGTTACATCGTTGTTAGAAATCACATAACAACATTTTCGAATGCTCTCACGTGCCTTGACGGGTCACTCGATCTATCGAAAATCAGGTTTATCTCTCGGAAACTTGCAGGTAACGGCGCAGCTAAAATTTCCCTCGAGAATGGGTGTCCTCGAGCACGTCTTTCTGGCCTCCCTTCCACCTTCTCCTGCAATTGCCTAAGTTGTTCGGCCATCCTCTCCACAGCTCTATCTCTGTACTCGCCTCCTCCGCCATAACTCGACACATCCTCCTCTTGTGTTCCCTGCACCGTTGTCGGCACAGTGGCAGCCTGGGATGTCTGGTGAGTGGCTTGTTGCACAGCCTCAGCCGCCGCGTCGGCCACCATCCTATGCACTTCTTCTCTCGTCATGGCCACAACTTGTTGAGCAGGGGGTTGTGGTGCTCCTCCTGTTGGTGGCATCATGGTTTGCACTGTTGGCCCTACTTGCTGCGTCATGACCGGGCCCGCTTGCAACGGAGC